CACAGTCCAAAAGGAAGGCTAACGGGTCATCTGTTTTGCATTTTCTTACCCATCATGCCATAACCCAGGAAAGAATTTTGGGTTATCTTCAGGCAATTTCAAGAGAACCAGAGGGGAAACAGAATGGCAGGCGGAAGGATGGATGGGAGCAGAGAGGTCAGTTCTGCCTCTGTGCTATCCCTGGTGAGAGGACAGCGACATGACCAGGGAGCAAGGAGTCGGATGGGGCATGTATTTCGAATGTGGTGCCACCTGGATTTGCTGACGGTAGAGGGGGCGTGCGAGAAAAACGTGAGGTATTTTTCCAAAGGGATGGATCATTCAAAGGGTTGGCTTGAGCAAAAACTGCCAAGAATGCGTTTGGCATTCAAACCAAGAACTTGGTTGTCATTCAATTGCTTCTTATTTTAAAGTTTTTTCTCATTAGGTTCTTTATTACTTGAGGTTGCCCAAAAAAAGCAAAAAATCCACAGGGAAAACAGCTCCTTTGAACCAAAAAAATGAATTAACTCCATCGACTTTAAATCAGATCATCAACTACCTTTGACTAATATCCAGAATTTTTAAGAAGGAACATCAAAAATTAAAGCCATAACTTTGAAGCAGTTTATAATAGGAAGAAATTATAAAAGTAGAGAGAATAGCGCTTAACCTTCAAGCAGAAATCATTTTCTTCTAAAGATTTAAATTTCTTAATTCAGCATGTGTCAGTTGAAACAGGTGTATAAAGATGAAGGTTTCAGAAAGTTGGACAAGACATTCTTCAGGCGACTGGTGTCTGTTAGCAGGAAGGAACATGTGTCTGAAGCATGTTCAATGTAAGGTGAAAATATGCTTTCTTTAAAAATGCATTAATATGTTTAAGAAAAATTTTGGGAAACTAAACGATTTCTTTTCTCTTTAAGTAACTGAGAGCTTCATTAACACATTTTCAGTCATTAAGGGAAAACTTCAGTTACTCATGGAACGGTGATGATGGAAAAAAAAATAATTGTTTTTTCATTAAGTTTTTAAGTACAGCGGATTAACTTTAGTACAGAATTTCCACAATTACTTTGCTGCAAAGCTGGTCACAGTAACCTTTTCATGAAGCTGTTCTCAGGAGGGAGTCGGCTTAGCTGCTCAGGAGTTAAAACAGCTGCCCGGGTGTGTCTTGTGGCTGCAGCTTTTGGCTGTGATGTCTCTGCCAAACCTTGTAAACTCCCCACAAGTTAAAAAATTTTGTTTATTTGTAAAAATAGAAGCCTAAAAAGGAAGTCAAAAAAGCTTGATGCTTAACATTAAAAGAATGCTTTCAAGTTACTTTTGACCGCAGTATGATGGGAAAAGCATATGGAATTAATGGCATTTGGAAAGGGACTTTTTTGAGGTCTGAAAACCTGTAAAATTTTCAACAGGTTCTTTGGAGGAAATGAAAAAACGGGGCTTTCTGAAGCCACATATTGTTCCCTTTTGGGTGTGCACACATTTTTCCACGTGACCACTGCAAACGGCAAGCTTTCTACTTCGAGTAAGTTTAAGCTGATTCCCCCCCCCAACCCGGGAAACAAATAGCAGTCTTACAAGGTTTGGCGATTAAAAGGGTCGTGTTGTTGCTCTGGAAACTGGAGCCTTGGATTTGAATTCACATTGGGAATTCACTTAACCCCATTGAGCCAAGAGGGCAAGTCCAGGATTATTTCTGGGAAATCTAAGAACATGGCATGCCTTAAGGCCAACATTTCCAAGCTGGTGTTAACAGGCAAAAGTGTGTTTCCTGTCTTTCTCCACTTCTCGTTAACCAGTTCCCAGGGGTTTTACTGAAAGGCTTTTTAAAAGGCAGGAACCTTTCGGATTCAGGTTTGGGGAATTAGTTTCGATACCCATTTTTTCTGGCCAAGCCGTTGGCCAGTTAACACTGGACCCACAGAAAGTGGGGCCACATAGGAAAGGGTCTCCCTTGCCTGTTTGGTCTCCAACAGAAAAGAATCAAGTGGCAAAAGCAAAAGGGTTAATGCTGAAAAGTTGCCAAAGTGAGCTTCACTGATGCAAATATAATTTGCAGAATGTTTAGCTGTATTTATCTTGCTTCCAGTTTAGCATGTGTAAAAAAGTGCGGTGGAAGGTGCTACCATTTTCTTTGACATACAGTGTGTTGTTTGTGATTGCATCAGAATTAAGGCTGTCTGTGCCTGAGTCTGTTAAAATGTATATCAATTGAAGGCTAGCAGAAATACAATTATCCAGCGGGCCCACAGCTATTTACCCTCATGCTTCATTAAATTATGAGGAACCCTAAGACATAATTAGGGCTCTTAGCTAGAGGAAATAGCAGGTACCAAAAATGGGGAAAAATCATTGTGGGGAAAAAAAATAGTTGGAAGATTCTGAGAACAACTGGTGAAGAACCACTAACAGAGGCATCGTTAATCTCGGGCGTGGAAACCACAACAGGAAAAACGGCCAATCCCACCTGTCCACGGGTCATGGACGGTGCCCCAGGCGGGGGTTTGGTTACTGCAAAAGGCCCAACTAGTTTGGGGAATGGTGCTTATCCCTCCTAATTTTGTTCCATTTCATTTCTTTTCATTGATGACTCTACAAACAAAGGTAACTAAAAACACCCTCCACGTATTTAAGAACATAACAGCTTGACACTGGAAGTGATCCCACTCATCTTAATTAATAGATTTTGGGACCAAAGTTTTAAGTTAATCAAGGGGAAAAAAAATGAGGCAGGAATTACAAGAAGCTCCCTTAATGCCTTTCTCCTCCCTCCACCTCATGGCCAACACGCAGTTGCCCTCGGTGAAACTCTTTGCACTTTGTGGTGCATTTGGTACCAACCTGATGCATTAATGCAACTCGTTAGTTATTAATGTCCTGTTGAATTCACGTTCACCTCTTTGTGTTCCATATATCTGGGGTTTGGACCAAATGAGTGATGATTCATGGGATCCCCACTAACAGGATCATTAACAAAGTCACTCCCCCTTAATTAAACACCCCCATGTTCCACCTAGCAATCCCCTTTTCCCATTCGACCCTGAAAAACCCTGGCCAACCTACCTGATCTTTTTTTTACTTGTTCTCTGGTAAGTTTTGTTGTCCATCCATTTTTTAAAGTTAAACTTACCAGGCTGTTCCTAGGAAGTATTCATTCATTCCCTTATTCATAAAAGTGTTCCCTTGATTAAATACTAATTTGTGCCAGGTAGCATTCTACACTTTTGGAATTATAGTGGATGACCAAAAAATAGGATCCAATGTCACAAGTTAACTTCCAGATATCAAAACCTTCCAGCTCAGCTAATCCTAAAATAAGGGAGGTAAAGGCCCAGTGAGCACAATTTAGGATGAGAGGTAGGTGGGTTGGAGAAAGAGTAAATGTGAGAATGGGCTTCCTGCCATTTGGCCCCGTCTTAAGGAGACCACCACCCCCACATCCTTTGCAGTTTCTAAGTCCCCCTCTGGCTGGCCGCCCTTTCCAAGTGCTGCTCCTGTGTTCTCCCGGGAAAGGAGCACTGTGCCTTTTGCCAACTTTCCCTTCCTTGCTGGTCCTGAAATTACAGGACAGAAAGGCAAACCTCTTCAAGACTTTTCGTTTATGGGCTTTCCCACTAAATAGTTATCTATAAGCCCCTACCTGGTGTAATGGTAATAGAACTTACAAAAGGAAATAGGTGCCCAAGATCATCAATCTAAAAAAGGACAACTGCCAACAATTTCCAAGGTCCCTTTGAAGTGGATTTGCCCCAGAGTTTCTCTCTTCCTCGGGCTGGTAACAATTCAGTCTCCTCTCTGCCACAAGAGGCCCCATTTCTTCCCTACCCTGTTCTGAGCCCGAGGTTTCTCTGGAAAGATAAAGAGTTTTCTGTTGCATGAGGTTGGCCGGGGGAGATGGAAGATTGAAGGAGGGTCATTTTGTTCCTTGCAGGTCTGGCCCCATTTCGTCCTTTGTTGTTCAATGGTAAGAACAGCTTACCATTCAACTAAAAAAGGGGATCCAAATGTAAACCTCTTGAGCCACATTTCTGAGCTGAGAAAGGCAGCCCCACCGTCAAAGTTACTGATGAGAAGGCAAAGTGTTACGTCTCTTCCCAACTACCACATTCCATAGGCATCGGGCTGGGCCTGGAATGGGCCAACGGTGGAGTAACCACGCCGTGGGAAAATCAGTAAACCGCTTTACCAATACGATAAACAGTTTGTAAAATCTTTTTTCTTTTTTTTTTTTGCCCCAAAAAGCCCACTTTACAGGGCAACCACTGGGCCAGGGACCTTCTTCATCAATTCTTTTTTTTTGAGTCAGGGTCTCACCGTTGCCAGGCTAGAATGCCGTGGCACCAACTAACTCACAACAACCTTCAAAACTGCTGGGCTCAAAGCATCCCTTCTGCCTCAGCTCCAGTAGCTGGACTAACAGGCATGGCGGCACATGGCCGCGCTAATTTTTCATATTATATTTAGTTGGCCAAAATTCTGTTTTTTTTAGTAAGATGGGGTCTCACTCTGCTCAGGCTGTCTCAAAACTCCTTGACCTTCCTGATTTCCTCCTGCTCGGCCTCGAGAAGTGCTAGCATTACAGGTGTGAGCCACCGCGCCCAGCCTCTTCATCAAATTCTTACATTGATTGTACCATAGGAATAAAGTCGTGAACACTCTGTTAATTCACATGCTCTAATTCTACTCTGCATAGTTTCAAGGGAAGTGCCAAACCCAAAGGCTTACCAGAGATTGAAATCAGTAGTTTTGAAAACATACTTAGCATTTTCAGGTTAACCATAGACCCTGCTTATGCTTTGCATTTCCCTTTGAAGAAGAACTGAGGCAATTTACAGAAAGTTTTACCTATGGTATCTTCATTGAAATCTCACAGCAACATGACTCTAAAACCTGCTCTTGCGGATGTCGGGCCATGATCATGATTACCATTTCTTTTCCCAGATCACAATTTGCTTGTCCATGTGTAATTGATAGGGTGCTGCCTTTGCTGACTCACCCCTTTGTGCCCCGCGCAGGACTGCACACGCCAGAGCAAAAGCCGACGCCGCCGACCAGGCAGCGCTGGCTGCCCGCCAGGAGTGCGACATCGCGAGAGCTGTGGCCAGGGAGCTGTCGCCTGATTTCTACCAACCAGGTAAAATACACCTCCTTGCGTGGGAGGGGTAGGAGCACTGGCTTGCGTTTCCTTTTATTTCCTTTTTCCTTTGAACGCCTTTTGAACCCCAGCAATCCCACAGAAACAAGCGGGAGCACATGTGCAGGTTGAGTATTCCACATCAGACAGAGATGCTTGGAACCAGAAGTGTCTCGGGTTTCAGATTTTTTCAGATTTTCGCATATTTACATATGTGTAATAATAGATACTTAGGGAGGGGATCCACGTCTAAACATGAGATTCATTTATGTTTCCTATACACCTTATACACAGGGCCTGAAGGTGATTTCATACAAGATTTTTAATAATTTTGTGCATGAAACAAAGTTTTGACTGTAACCTGTCACAGGAGGTCAGGTGTGAAATTTTCCACTTGCAGCGTTGTCCTGTCTGTGATTTTGGATTGGGGATATTCAACCTATAGTAAAAACTATCACCTGAACTCAGAGTATCAGCACTGGAGATTTGGGGTAAACCCCAGCGTATCCTCCTTCCTGCTCCCTCAGCCCCAGCTGCATACGACCAACAGACTGAGCTGATAGCAGTAAATAAGACAATAGCAGTAAATAAGACAAGATCTGAAAGATGTAGCTGATTCTAAAAAATTCTGCTAGTGACAATTATAGATTCTGTAACAAATACCCCCCAAATTCAGAGGCATCTATAACATTAGTTTTAGCAGTAAAAGAAGAGCCAATAAGGATAGGGACTATTTTTTGTTACTGTACCTGAACTAATGCTCAAAGGATTGGGGTTAGGAGGTAAAGCAATGTACCACTGAAAGACTAATCTGCAAAGATTAAGAGGAAAATGCTGCAGGGCACGATGGAAGAAATGAAAGTAACAACCTCAAAAAGAATCGATCTCAATCATCTGCCTCTTAAGTGTTATAAAATAGCAATCCACAAATACTTGCAGTAGGTTTAAATATTTAATTTACTTGCTAATAGTTTCCTAGTAGACTGTTTCTAACTCTTCCTGTGGTATACTGGTGTTTTGTTTTGAATTTCAAAAAGGCACCCTTTTTATATGTTTTCTATCACTATACAAACATCTTTCTAGTGGTTGTTTAGGGAATCAACAGATTTCCAGGTGAAGAGAAAAAAATAAATTGTTCTCAATTTCTAACTATCAGAATTTATATTTTCATGGTAAAGAATTTTACCATGTTGGTTTTTATTAAAGCAAGCTGTATAACTCGAGCCCTGTCTCTAGCTCAGCACCCTACACAATATAGGTATCAGTTCGTGTTTGGTTCCCATGAAAGGGGATACAGTATTGGAACCCACAGGGCATCACTGATTCCTAAAGAACAAGGTAAGTCAAAGTGAACAAAATAGCAAGATGTATAGAAAAGCTAGAAACTTAGCTATAATATAAAGGAATGAGAAAGAAATGATCTAGAGATTTTTAGGGTAGGCGGGGAGGGCTGTGTCGTGCAAAGATAGAAGACAGTAAAAGGCCAGATTTAGAAGACTCAGTTTTTATAAGAGAAAGGCTGGGGAGGGACCCAGTCTGGTTGCTGAATGATAGATACTATTGTCACAGCATGACTTCTCTAAGAGTTCAAGTCCAAGGAAGGCAACCACTGATAATGGGTGTTTTCTTTCACGTGCATCTTTTTTAAATCTCTGGGTACAATTTAAATCATTTAAATATGTATGTATATTTTGTTAAGAAAAGGAACCTTTCCATTTTTTGCAGTGATCTCTGGTAGGAATAAACCCTCTTATGATATGAAATGAATTCACACTTCCCCGGTACCTAAGTGCATTGGCAAATTAGCTGTTGCAGGGTCTGAGAGCTGGGGATAGAGTTCAGCCACCCCAACCCCACCCCCGAGAGGGACTGTCCTGTGCTCCCCAGCAGTACTGCCACTGGGAAGAAGCTGAGCAGTCAGGAGACCGTGGGCTTGAACTGCTTTGAAAGCAAACAGACTTACTATTGTTGTCTGCAGATGGTAATTCCTAGATTCTGTTAATTCCATTGGGGAATGGGGTCCCTCTAGGTTTCTATTAGGTGTTACCCAAGAGGTAAATGATATGAAAGGTCATCTCAGTTTCCCAGACTGAATGGTTCTAAAAGCCTTTTATGGTGTAAAAGCATTTGAGGGGGAAAAAAATATTGTGGGAAAATGTAATTCCACCCTTTCGTGGTGAACACAGCTTCATATAAGCAAGTTGACCATCAATAATGAATACATCACACAGTAGCCTGATAGGACAGTGGGTGGGTCTGTCTGTTTGAGACCAGAGCTAAGGGGGAAGGCTGCAAGCCCCTTTGACCCACAGCCAACACTTCCTTCAGCAGCTGTATAGAAAGCCTGTTCTCTACTGGGTATTATTGATCTTCTCAGGGGACATAACTCATGCTTTCCCTTCTGCAGTTACAGGGTGATCAAATCGGATAGCCACTTTCTAAAAGGGCTTTCAAGTACTTCTTCTAAGGCAGGCTGCTCATTTAGTTTACATATCTCAGATACAAAAGTTTGCACTGTTTGGGATCCATGTGTCGTGCGTAGAAGTCGTTAACCCTGGGATAAAGGATGCCTGTCATAACTAACATTTTGAACACTTTCATGGCAAATTACCTCTTTTTAGGAGCTGGCAGTATTTTCACATATTTACCATCTTAGTTAAATCGTATGCCTTTAGTTTGAAACTATCATTCTACAGTTCAGTTAAAAAAAAAAAAAGGAAAAAATATAGCCATTTGGGATGGCTTTGTCACTCAATGCTCAGATAATAAGCATACAAATTGATGCTTGTGAATAATTGTGTACATGTACAGAAGACTAAATTGCCATTAGTGGGAGTGACACAGTGGGTCATCCCTCCAAGAATTTACAAGATTGCCCTGAAAATGAGTCCCCGATACTACACAGAGATGGGTCAAGTAATCTGAAGTGTTAGCATGGCTTTAAGAACTGCAAGAGTTGCCTGTAACCTGATTGAGTGATGAAAGTATCTAAAGAAAGAATTGGTTACCCAAGGAAATATAGAAAAAACAGAGTCACAGAGGCAAAAATTGGCAGTGTCCATCCCAACACTGTCCAGAGGAGGAGAAGCCTGAGCCAAAACCTTGAGTATTGCTGCCACATTGGCAAGGATGTTTTTATTATGGGGAAGGATGCAGGGAACTGTAGCCAGTGGTGTATGGCTTTATTGGCAGGATCATCCTGACTCGGGAAATGGACGCATCAGGCTAGCCCAGCTTGATGCCATTAGATATTTGATTCATCTCATGCTGCCTGTCCCAATTCCATGTTCACCAGTAGCTTTCTAATTTTGGTTGAGCTTTCCGTGGAGGTCTGCCAATAGGGAGAGCACATCCTGGTGGTATCAGTGTGAATCTTTTGACCTATGTGACGTTTACATTGCTCGTTGTAAGCCAGCGAACCCCTGGTGTTGTACATCAGCCTTGGGAGCTTTGGTAACGTGAGTCTGCCCCAAGGAATAGCTCTGCTTCAAAACATCAGGTTGCTAAGCCAGCAAGGCTGACCTAAGAGCTTGGAGGGTGACCACCAAGGACGTGGGAGGGATGGGGCACAGGGGGAGGACAATTGGAAGACTGTATATCTGGCTCTTTGTCCCACTCTTTCAATTTCCTTTCAGTCAAGATACTTTATTTTTATTTCAAGTGATACTAAGTAGGATGTAAAATTTTTATATTTATCGGTGGGGGCAGGGCTGACCACGGGTTAAAGAAATTGAAACACTGCCCTAGAATGTGGTGAATTTAGTACTTTGGGAGGTGGCCAGCCTGCTTCCCTTGGGCACCACCCCCAGCAAGCTTTGTCTTCCTGTGCAAGCGTGAGTGTGCTCACACACTCAATGTGGGAATTATTGAGGGCGAAAGTGAAATCTGTCGGCTATTATGAACCACTGCTAACTAAGCTTGCATTTCTGGTATGAAGTAGAAGTTCTTTAGAAATCAAGGTATATCTTCATTACATAATTGTCTGTGGCTACTATTAATATGTAGTATTTTTGGTTAAGAAAAGGGAAACATCCTGGAATAGATCACTTCTAAGGTCACCTTCCAAAGTCAAAATTCTGAATAAATTTTTTTATTAAAAAAAAGGCAAGTGAATAATCCACTAGTTGCCATGAAATTGATAATTCATAAGTTTGCTGGTTGCTCATACCACTAACTCATTCCAGTATAATCAGTTTCACAAACGTGTGTTGAGTGCCTGACATGGGCTAGGTACTGGAATGGACACCCCACAGCTCGCAGACCCAGGGCCCTAAGGCTGTGCTCTCAGAAATTGGGGTGTTGGTACAGATGGGACTGTGGCGTCCTATGGAAAAAGGAGCATTCTCTCCATGCAGAACACACAAGTGATCCAGCTACTAGTTATGTAATCTCTGTAGACTCTCTGTCTGATCCTTTCTCACTGATTGACGATCTCCATAGAGTATGTCTCATTTGTATTTAATGACTGCTGCTGTTGCTACAAAGCATTTGATGTTGGCACTGACCTTGTAGACATTTGGTTTAGGGAATCTTCATGGTGCTCCTGCCTGTAGCCAGCCCACCCAGGCTCACCTCTGAAGAGTTAGCTAGATACCCTGCTGCTACCATCTGCCATATCTGTTCGGGGCCTTTGCGCCAACTATAACACGTAACCCTTCAGTGTTTTGTATTTTGTGGCTTATTGGTGAGCAGGTGATCTGTATCTGACTTCTTCCCAGTATAAATCTCGTGGAGGGTGTGAAGGGTGGGAATCCCTTGGGAGTCATAGATACTGTCTATAAAAACAGATGAAAATGCTGGCTGCAACAACTATCAACACTTGTCATAATTTCCCTGCCTGGCAATATTCTGACTAGTCTATTTAGTGAATTGCTGCATCTCATCAACTTTATGTTGCTGGCTTTGCAGTGCTGACACACGTTACTACGCAGAACAAGTAGAAGGCACAACATGTACCTTCCAAGAGAAAATAGTCCAGGAAAAACTTCTGTCTTCTGCATTATATTAAATGTCTTGTTTAAAAAGCATTTAATGTTACTCTGGAAAATCCAACTATATAGCCTCATTTAGCTGGCCAGTCCTCATCTGACTGCGTCTTGTTGGAACCGTTTCCAAACTGGATGTAGTCATGTAAGGTTGGCATTATGTCCACCTCTAGGCAACATATGTCTTACACTCTTTCAAATGCCTGTAACACCGGGTATGTTAGAATCACCTGGAGCATTTGTTAAGCATTGATATTTCTAGGCGTTAGTTCGTACTTACTAAATCAAAATCTGAGCATAACACCCCAGACACTTCTGATGGGTAGTAAGTGTAAGAGCCGCTGCTTGGCAGTGCATTTATGCCCTTACCCAGCCATTTTTTGAATGCATAATAAAGCTAGGATTTTTTTTTTAATTTAAAAGTTGGTACTGAAATGTACTGCTATCATTCTAGTAAATTGTTTCAGTACAACAGATTTTGAGTATCATCAAAAGCCCTGTAGACCAATCTGAGAACACCTAAAAAACTCAGAAGAGTGGGCATGAGTATCATGTAAGAGAAACCTTTCCTGATACACTTAGAACAAGAAAACGGTGCCAAAGAGGGTGCACATCAGATTTCTAAAGGTTAAAGAAGTGATTAGACTGGTATTGGAGAGTTAAGAGATTAATAAGAAATGCATTCTATGGAATCTAAAATTTAGCTTTAAAAATTTATTAATACAAATTATTCCAATGGCCAAATCATTCTCAACTTGGCTTATTAATGACAGTATAAATTAAGAGGTAGGCAGAGTTATATGCACTGTTTATAAAAAGCATTTGAAAATGTATTTTATATTCAAGTACTAATATGTTTTTGTTTGTTTTTCTTTCATCCTTTTTTTTCTCCTTTATTTTCTTTTTTTAGCCCGAAAGCAACCAATAGATTTTTTATCTTTTTTCAAATAACATTATATCCCTTTAGTTACTGACTTTCAAAAATTATTAATTTTTATTGGACCTACCATTATTGAATTGCCCGAGTTTACCCCAAATAAATGGCCTCTTGTACCTGTTAGTATTTTATCAGTCCCATCCTTTGCTGGCAGCTGTCACTTCTGTTGAACTTTGTCAAAGCAGCTCCCATTTCTGCTCCTAATCTGCTTTCCTGCAGTAAATGCAGGAGGGACCAAAGGTGGCTAGGATAAATTCTGAATTTTCAAACATCATATATTGACATTATTGTGTACATTCATGGGGTACAAAGTGATGTTATGATTTTTTAATACAACGTGGAATGATTAAATCAAACTGATTAACCTATCACCTCAGAAATTTGACAATTTTTCTGTAATGAGAACATCATAAAAATTTAACTCCTCAGTTTGTAAGCTGCACTATCTATCACAGTCTCACGTCTTCAAAATGAAATCTTGGGCTTTGTTTCTCAATTGCTCAAGTGATCCTCCTGCCTCAGCCTCCCAATTAGGTAGGACCACAGGTGTGCACAACCATGCCTAGCTAATTTTTATTTTTTAGAGATGGGCTCTCACTCTGTTGCTCAAGCTGGTCTCGACCTCCTGACCTCAACTAATCCTGCCTTGGCCTCCCAAAGTGCTGGGATTTCACTGTGCGCAGCCTAAGTTAAATGTTAGCTTTTAGTGTGCCTTAATCTTTAGATAGATATTAGCAATTTTTTTTTTTTTGCAAAAATAAATTTGCCTTTATCTCTTAAATTGAAGACATTAAAAGTACCTGGTAATTTTTGTAATTGGTTCAGCATTATGTAGCTTAGATTAAAACTTTATTGGCTCCAAGAAACTTGACTTTTAATTATCTTTGCACAGTATAGTCACTACCATACCTAGAGGAGTATATTTCAGCAATCCTATAAAATTGAGTAACAGTGAAACACAAATAACACCAACTGTGATGAAATTTTGGGTGGCAGGGTGAGGAACAAGTATATAAGCAATACTGTATTTGCATCTATCAGAGAATATACCTTATTACAAAAGAGGAGATGGGGTTTTATAAAAATCTGCAGTAGTATCACAAGGAGCTTTTCCAAGACAGACCAATACCAATGACCTTATGGGAATTTAAAAGTAAAAGCAAGTCGGCTGATGGAGGAACATAACCTTTCTGTGCTCACGATGCTGCTATGTCCAGACACAGCACCAAGGAAGAATTCAGAAATAGAAAGACATCACCTCTTAAGTGATTGCAGTTGCTGCTTTTCTTTATTCAAGTGAGATACCTTTCACTGGGTATTCATACTGTGAGAATTCATACTGTCATTTTTGATAGAAGATTTAAAAGAAAATTGCCAATTTAAAAAGGGAGTAAGCTCTTGCCAAGTTTAGAAAGGAAATCTCAGTTGTTTCACCTGTGCTCTTGACAAATTTGGGAAACTTTAATCCTGACGAGTGGATTTATCGTCTAAAGGATGGAAATTGTGATAATACTATTATGTTTGGGGCCCTGAATACAATGTGCGATGGTGGGTTGTAGGGAATTCTCATCTCTGGCTTTAAAATATTATATGTTGCATTTTTTGTGAAAGGATACATAGGAGTGATATGACTTTTGGTTTTTCAGCTGCTGCAGCTGTTTCCACATACAAAAAAAAATGTAGATAAATAACACCTACCTCCTAACCTTTTGTTGAGGCTTTAAATTTTGGAAAATACCTTGCATAATAAATAGTCTCATCACAATGCCTTATTACTCAGACCACCATGGGAAGAGCAAATAAAAGTTTAAGTGTGCAGTATGTATTTTTAGCAATTAAGGATAATTGTTCTTCAGCCCCTCTGTAAATCTTTTAAGTTAGTCTGTCTGGAGTGAGGGGTCAGGGTGGGAGGCAGGAAGGAAGATGAACAGATTCAGTGTCGTGGAGTTGATGAGAGCTCACCAGCTCTCTGTAAAGCCAGTTGATGGGGAAAGTTTCTTTCTTGTACACTTGTGAGACATTGTCAGCTTCTGGAAGAGGGCCAACTGCACTGCGTGGGACCTTGACTTCACCTTAAGGGGTGAAGAGTAGCTGATGGGTGGAGTGGTAGCCAGAGTGTGCACGTGACTTGATTACAAGGAAGGGGCTGAAGGACCTGGAAGGAGGACGCTGCCTTGGAGAGCTGTCCCAGAGTGCTGGGACACCCCCTTAAGCTCTTAGGACCTAAACCATCTTGTGGCCCACAGTCTGTTTCTTTGCATCTCTCTCTCCATAAAATAACAATGCAGCAGGGTCACATTTTGTTAAATGAAAATTCTACCTATCTGTAAAAATAACATGATTGTTATAAACAATCCTGAACTATAGAAAAAAAAGAAGAAATGTATCCTGAGACCTCAGAACCAAAGACAACTGCCTTGTCTTACTTCCAGTGCCTGCAGATCAACATCTGTCACAGCTGTGAATAGGCTACATATACATGATTTTGTGTAGGGCAACCTCAACCGCAGAAGTTGTTCCTAACCAGGAAGTTTTAATGATCCTTTGATGACAGATTGTTAAAAATATGTTATCTGCTCTTTCTTACAGTGGACTCTATTAAATGTTCAAACACATGTAGTAGTCAGCTTAGTTCTCCATACAAGTATATACTTTCTGTCTTCATTACACCACATAATTCGAATAGGCAGATTAATTATGGTGTTGTGGCCAGTGCTCCATCAACATGGGTTTCACCTTCACATTCTGCAAGTCGGCAAGAACCATGCAAGTATTTGGGACGCCAGAACTGTTTAACTTTTGTGGCTACCAAAATAATCACAAATACTGTATTATCTTAAAAGCAGCTTTTCAGTAATAAATAATCTTTTCTCCTGGAGAAAGAAATGTGCTTATGCTTAATCAAAGTCTTATAAATATATTTAAAAGAAAAAAAAAGTCAATCTGATTTAGCCAAAAACTATATACATAAGGTACAAGCTTCTATGCCTTATTTCCTATCACCTTTTTTTTTTTCTTTTTTGTTTTGTTTTGGCAGGCCCTGATTACATCAAACAGAGATTACAGGAAGGTGTAGATGCTAAAGAAAATCCAGAGGAAAAGGTACCAGAAAAGCCGCCTACACCAAAGGAATCTCCTCATTTTTATCGCAAAGGCACGACACCCCCGAGATCTCCTGAGGCCAGTCCCAAACAGAGCCACTCCCCCCACTCTCCTTCCCCAAAGCCCACGAAGAAGCAAAACCCCAGTTCAGGGGCAAGACTCAGCCAAGACAAAAGGAGTGTGGCTGATGAGCAGGTGACGGCCATTGTCAATAAGCCCTTGATGTCAAAGGCTCCCACGAAGGAGGCAGGAGCAGCTGTACCCCAGTCCAAGTACTCTGGCCGCCACCACATCCCCAACCCCAGTAACGGGGAGCTGCATTCTCAGTATCACGGCTACTACGTGAAGCTGAACGCCCCCCAGCACCCTCCAGAAGACGTGGAGGACGGTGATGGGTCGAGCCAGTCTTCCTCAGCACTGGTGCACAAGCCATCCCCTAACAAGTGGAGTCCCTCCAAATCTGTGACAAAACCAGTTGCCAAAGAAAGCAAAGCTGAGCCAAAAGCTAAGAAGTCTGAACTTGCTATACCAAAGAACCCAGCAAGCAACGATTCGTGCCCTTCTTTGGAAAAAGAAGCCAATTCAGTAAGTCTCGCACGACGTGTTTTCCCTTCCTTTCTTCCTTTTGGTTCTTTCCGGGAGGAGGGTGGCATAACTGTGCGTGTCAATCACAGCCATGCTAACCGAGGTTCTAGGAGCGAGGGGTTGTTTAGAGCAGAACAAGGTTTGTAGTTTGAAGACAGCTCCCCGGACAGACATTCCTCCATGTCTGCTCAGCCACCCACCTTCAACATAACCCAGGTAGGCGGGGCCTGGCCAGCTTAGCACAGATCACTTTGTGGAAGGCCTTATCAACATGTCCTGGTGAGCTTCATGGAAGCTTCCGGTGATTGCTAGAAAGGAATCGTGGCCCCTGCCTAGGGCCAGCTGCTCCTCGATTTCCAGCTAGGAGGACACACCAAGTTCTTAGCTTTTGCCCCCACAATGCTCAGCATCTTTAAGCAAAAAAGGTCTCTTCTAGCCACTGTGAATTCTTCTCCTAAGTACTTAATTTGGATTTTACTTAATTAGCCAGGTTTTGCAGCTAGAACATTTTTCTTTCCCAGATGAGAACTGACATTTCCAACAGTTCAAGGGAATTTCTCTGGTCCTCTGACTTCTCAGAGTGTGAGGGTATCTTCCAGTTTCAGTTCTCCGGCAGATGTTAGTTATTGTTATTGACTAGTCTCCAGCGTTTAAGATATTTATTATTCAGCCAGGAAAGTTCCATGTTATTGAAAAATCTCTACATCCTCTTTCAAATGAGATTTACTTGTTGAATGATATATAGAATTAGTATTTTATCAAATTCTGTAGAATTTATAAAATCTGAAACTAAGTAATTATCAATTTAAAAAATTGGCCAGCTGACCTATTGACCTGGTCACATGCCTTTGAAACAGAGGTGTTGGATGTTAGATGTAGCTTAAGGAAGAAACCTCAGCTGACCTAATATGTACTTGTAATTACAGAGCCATATTTGCATAATAGTATGGAATAATATCTTGTTCAACAAGAATATAATGCAACCTTATTTTTGTCTGTTCAATTTACTCATAGGGTTAAACAGTTGAAATTCATCTTTTTAATTAACTTATGCTTGAAATGTATTATGTATATCTATTTTGCTAATATCGATAAAACACTGGTTCTCTTTTTTTCAAATTCCTGACTTTTTAATTATCTAAATATAAGTTAATCAGATTAACTGGACTAACTTCCTGAGAGACTCCATGGAGATAAATGATTTTCAAAACAGACTAACTTTATGAGACTCTGGCTGTTTAGTAAGCATTCATTTTTTAAAATTTTTAACATTGATACATCAGCATCCTGATATTGCAACTGAATTTGTTAAATGTAATGATTCACTCCTCGTTTGACTTTCAGCATGGGTAGCCCCATGTTAGTAAGGCCTCACATACATATCAGTGATAGTTTGCCTGATTTACAAGGGGGACACTCAAACAATGCAAGACTATATAGTATATATCTTTGGGTGCCCAGAAGTGGGGTTCAGTTGACTTCCGCAACTCCACAAAGAGAAGCATATGCCCCAGGGTCATACGTTAGGCTGTGATAGGGGGGGAAAAAAGGTTGTATAACCTAGCTTGTACCATCACTATCTTTCTGTAAAACAGCCTCCTTATTTAGGAAAAACAGTCTGTTTTACTTATGTGCAGAATCCTCAGATTCTTAAGTTAGCCAAGCACCCTCCACCTCATAGGTCAGTGCCTAGGGTTCTCTTCCACAACCAAAGGCACAGAGAAGGCCCCAACAGCTGTGCAGCCTCCCTGAGCTTCAGGCTGCCTATGACAGGGACTACAAATCAAGCTTGACTTGGCAGCTTCACATGAAGAGTCTAACAGTTAACATTGTCTTCCTGATAGTAACAGAAAGCCGCCTTCCCCAATCCTGGTAACTGGTTTCTTCCAGGAGTTAGGCAGTAACACAACCATCATAAAGGTGTAGTCAGTGAATGACCTTTAAAACAATCGAGTAGTACTACTTACAATTTTGAGATAGACACTGCATATAAGTTAGGGGCTTACAAATAACACTTTAAAAATTCATAGAATTAGACTCTGGTACCAAACTTCCTGGATTCAAATCCCAACTCTGTTGCTTACCAGCTGTGTGACTCTGGACAAGTTTTCTAACTACTGTGTGCCTTGGTTTTTTCATCCATACCTATTTCACAGGGCTATTGTGAAGATTAAATGAATTAATACTTACAAAGTTCTTAGCACAGTGCCTAGCGCAGGGTAAATGCTCACAAAGCATTGGCTATCATGATGATGATGTTTGTTTCAACACTGTACTAGTTGCAGGAAGCATAAGTAGCTCCTAAATATTCAAAAGGGTTTGATCCATCCTTAGGATCACCCTGGATATTGATCTCCTAGAAATACAGAAAATCTCCTGGGACACAGGCTACCACTTAGAGCAAATAAATTAGTGACGTTAGTGTGAGAGGCAGGAGGAGGGAGGCTGTAGCAGAGATTTCTGTAAACTTGTGAGCCCTGTGGGCAGTGGTTACACATGATCTCTGTCCCAGGGCACACAGTCTATGCAATACTGAAATTTTTGTAGAGTTCTGCAACATGGCAACTTTGGTAGGCGCCAGAATAGGCATCTTTGGAGCCTTATCAAGCAGACAGGGCGACTCTTCCAATGAGCAGTCTCAACCCACTCTGAAAACTGCCTGCAATTTTTTCCCAGCCATTATTATGATCAGCTTCCAAGCTTGCTTTGAGATTACCTGATCTTTCTTTGGAACTTGCGGAAAATCTAAAGCATCCCTGGCAGGTCAGATTTGAACATCACACCAAAAAAGAAATGTAGATACACGTAATTAAACTCTGCTATTAATACTAAATTTAAACTTTTCATTTTTCTTATGTTTTTAATTAGAGAAGTTTTAGATTAACGTAAAGAAAACATAATAACTCCTTACCAGAAAATTCCTCACAATTTTAAATATGGGTAACAGTCTCTTGAAGAAGAAGAAAATAATTTATGGAGTTAGAACTTTGTTTTTCGTATTTTGACTTCCTATAGTTTATTTTCTAACTGCCTGAAAGTTTTTTCCAACCAAGACTTACACTTGCCTTGCTACAGCTTCTTTCATTACACCTGTCCCAGTCAGTCTTGAAAAGCAAGACTGATTTTTTTTTTTCATTTTGCTATTTTAAGCTACAACTGGCCACCAGGGTCATATTTATGGGACTTCACCTTAAAGCTTTTCTCTGCGTACCCTGTACCTCGCTGTCTGAAGAACACAGAGGTCACGGCTCACTATCTGGCCTGTTAAACATAGCATCCCAGATTTTTATTTTTCACCTAGTTGCTGTTTGAACCTTTAATGTCTGGCTTGCTTTCATCGTCACTGAGTCATCTTTAAAAATAGCTTTATAAATGGAGCCACCCTGGTAGGAGAAATATAGATATATGTGTGTATTTTTCATTCTGGATAAAACATTCATTATTCATTGAATCCACGTTACCAGTACAAACGTGAAGAAAGATACTAAGCTAAAGTCAACCCGAGAGAATAGACACTCAAACTACAAACCAATTTGAAAGGGTTAGATACATTCACATAGCTTTATAAAGATTTACAGAATGGGCATGAAAGGGTCAGGCACATCTTAGAGTTGGCTTCACTGAAGGTACTTTCTCTGTCATTGCGCTTTTCTTGGGTCCACTGTAAGACACTGAACTGTGCATTGTATTATTCTGATCCAGTATACTTTTTTCTCATCTTTTATATCACTAAAGTATCTTTGAGAATTATAAATTAAACCCACTGGCCCAAAGAGTTGAAATGATCCCAAATTCTTAACACACTCATGAACAAAATCTGATCAAAGTACATAGTAGTATAGGTTGAGCATCTGAAATGCTCCAAAATCCAAAAAAATTTTTTAAGAGATGGCTCTCACTCTGTTGCCAGGCTGACATGCAGTGGCTTTTCTCAGATGGGATCGTAGCTCACTGCAGCCTTGAACCTCTGGCCTCAAGAGATCCTCCCACCTCAGCCTCCTGAGTAGCTGAGACTCCAGGCACTCACCAGCACGTCCTGCTAAGACCCAAAACTTTCTGAGCACTGACATGATACTTAAAGGAAATGCTCATTGGAATGTCTTCAATTTGGGGTTTTGGGATTTGGGATGTTCAACTGTTATATCCGGAAAAAATCCAAAACCCAAAAGACTTCAAGTCCCAAGCATTTCAGATAAGAGATGCTCAATCTGTAATAGTATTCCCTTAATCTCTGTGTGAGTGGTGATGTAGAATGATCATCTCCATTAGAGAGTTTCCTACATTATGTTCTAAGTTAAACATAATTAAGGAGTTACATTAACTTGTTAACTCTATTAACTTAGAACACAACTATTCCAAAAGAGCAGTTGGCCATTATCAAGATTTGATGTTTTCCTTATAGTGTGGGAATTACGGGATATAGTTGAAAATGTCGTTCTAAATAACTTGGTTGGAAATTGCTTTTAAACTAAGGCCTGTGGCGTTAATAGGGATGTAGAGGAAAGAGTATGAAGCTCTGAAGTGAACCAGCTAAAGTTTAATTCTAGTTCTAATGTGTTTAAACTGGCTGAGTAACCTTGGGCAAGACACTTTTCCTCTTGAAGCTCTGTAAAATGTAGAACTAACAATCACAGGTAAAGAATAAATGAAAAATAATCTACTTAGAAATGCTTAGCCCACTGTCTGGCATTAAAAAGACCTGCAGTAAATGTTTATTTTCTTCTCATTTCCATGGGGTTTAGGAACTGGGGTTTTTCTTCTTCCAAATAGTCCATATCTCAAGGGTACCCATGTTCCTTCCTCATCTGCCCCTCTATTTTACTAATCACCCTGTGTGTTCTTCATTTAAGGCAGTGATTTAATCTGATCTGTTCAACAACCACATCCACAGCACCTAGAAAAGTACAGGGAGACAGGAGGATCTCATTAAATATTGGTTGCCTGGGTGACTGTGCGCTGGGTACATAGTGGTAACCAAGACAAGGCCCTGCCACTGTGGAGCTCAGAGTCTAGGGGAAGATGGCAATTAACAAATGACCATAAAGTATGGAAAGTGTTAGGATAGGGAAGGAAGTGGGCCCTCTGACCTCTCCCAGGGAGATGTGGCCTCATGCAAGGAAGAGACCTTGAGTAAGTGACGTGTGACCCAAACCCTACCAGGGGTCCTCAAACTACGGCCCGCGGGCCACGTGAGGCCCGCCGAGGATATTTATCCGGCCCGCCGGGGTCCTGCTTAGCAGCCAACTCATCCCGGGCCCACAGTGCGCATGTGTGGAATGTGCGCTGCACTCTCCAACGGCCCTCCAGCGGTCTGAGGGACAGTGAACTGGCCCCCTGTTTAAAAAGTTTGAGGACCCCTGGGGGAAGAGCACTTGACTGATGGCAGTTTCAATCTCCCTTACCCACTTCTCCACTCACAAAAAACAAAAAAATGCCTTTGAGGCCTCTCTAGCATTGTTTCAATGTAGTCCCAAATAGAGTGTAACTGTTTCCTCATCTGTAAAATAAGGACAATAAAACTACCCACCTACTGACCTCTTAAGGCCCATTTGGAACATTTTTCATGCTATTTAAGAATTAGATAGACACTATTTTAACAGTAAATACCAAGATTGTGTCTTTGTAATAAAGGTGACTTCTCTTAAAGTCCTTTAAATGGCCTTTAAAAAAAAAGTGACTTCTCCATGGGCCAGATGTGAAAAGATGGGTCATATGAGGTTGGTTTAAGTAAGTTTGGGGAAGTTAGGCTATCTGGTGCATATTATAATATTTATCAAAATAGGACTCTGCTGTTTGTTAAGTATAACTGAATTTTGAAATGTTGTGGTTGTGATTAGGGAAAAAGAAAGTTAGACTTGTAAAATAACTTCTAAGAATATTCAACTTCTCATGTACAGTTTTTACTTAAAGGACAGGATGGTGTCCCAAAAAAGAAAAGAACAGGAAAAAGCAAGAGTTAGCCTCATCTTAAGTTTTTCCTTTGAGGCTTCATTGTCTTATAGATTTTACCCTCCTGTTCTAACTGCCCTTAGGAGGAAACAGTTCATCCTCATCTGAATGACATCCTAACAACAAATGCACATCTTAGTTCCCATCAGTTCCTACTGACCCCGTTTATGGTGAACTGTGCCTCAACCCAGGCTGTTGTCCATTATTTTAAGGTGAATGAAGTAGATGATTGTTTAAAACATTTTCAAACTAATTCAAGCCTGCATTCGTTTTTAAGCAAAAATTCAGAAATGGCTCCATCTAAACATAGCATTGCTATTTTTAATTTATACCTTTTGGAACTACTGTCATCATTCATGCCTTATTTAATGCAACCAAGTTTTCTTATATTTTTGGTAATTGGCTTTGGTAATAGAGTGATATTAACTTGGAAAAGTTATGCTTGTTTTGTTCTGTTTCATTTCCAGGGCCCTAACTCAGTCATGATTGTCCTTGTCATGCTGTTGAATATCGGGTTGGCCATTCTTTTTGTTCACTTTCTAACTTGATTGGATTTAGGAAAGGTAAGAATAGCCTTAATTTCTATCTAAAAATCACAATGAATAACATTCTTTTCTCATATTCAAATTTACTATTATTTTTTTTAAACAACGTATTGTCCTTCACTTTAATTTTGGCTGTGCCTGAATGTGATTCAACATGGTTACTTAACGCTGTAACTGTTTTGACCCTTCAGTGAAGTCATGACAACTAGTGGTGTTAGCCCACAGTTCTCTGCAGTGGTGCCGTCAGCCCTTTAAATGCCCCACCCCAGGCAGACTCAGACACAGGGAAGGAGGCTTGGAATTAGGATGGGATCGCGAGAGAGCTGACACTTGGAAAATTCAGCCAGAGGACCTGTTCGGTTCCCCTGGGAATGCTTTGTGGCTTTGGGGTCCTCTGGGAGCTGAGGCGCACAGCCATGTTGGAGAACAAAACTTAATAACGATTCTTTTTTAAAATCTGCTGAAGCAGCCCCATCCGGCGAAGTTCTTGGCGTTGGCTACTCCATCTGTCCTAGCGGAGTGTGACTAAACTGGAAATGTATGGAGCTGCATTTTTTTTGTTGTTGTTGTCTGATGGAAGTCAACAGCTGCCTTACTATTTTACCATCTGACGTTTTTAGTAGGGAGCTGGGGCAACGACTGCCCGAGGAATGCGGTCGGAGGATTGTGTTGCTGTGGACGTGGTTCCAACATTCACTCCTATCTCATTAGAAGAAATAGGTAGCAGCATCACTCACCAGTCTTATGCCATGACCTGCTGCTTTAACATCTCCTGGAATGTTCTGGGAGAGGTGGTTTTGTTTGCCTGTGCACGACTCTTGTTCATTTTTTTGCTGTTTATTTAACTATAATGTATAGTCACCCATCACCTGCGGTCCTGGCCAGACGAAACACACGTGTTGCATCTCAAGGAAAAGAAACAACAAAGTGCTAGTGAAAAATGTGCTTATTTTGATAGCAATACACCATTTTTTATGTCATTTATTCTTCTTAAACGTGTAAAAGGCTATTTATCTTTAAAATTTAGCAATCTGAAGCCATCGTACCTTCCTAAGAAATAATTTTATTTTAAAAATTCTATCATTTACTGAGATGAGTTATTTATGCACTTAAGAGGTGCTAAATGTTAAAAGCTGAAAGACAACAGAATTCGAAGAAGTATAGTCCAAACGTTGCATGGATTGCAGTAATCGGTGTTTAAAGGATTCAGTTTCTTTGCTGACGTACTTTACAACCAAATAAAATCTTGTCAGTGGCTGTGTTAATTCCCATGAAAGTTAAGCAAGATGCTATTAATAACTGTGCTTCTCTTTCTTGTTTTCTTTTTCCAACTTAAATTTCTGTTGAATACATTCAGGTAGAGCATAAAGCTTTGTTCAATCCCTGCTTCTCAATTTTCTGCCTTTCCTGTTTTTCAAAGTCCTTTTGTAATTTCATTTCAAATTTTAAAGGCTTAGACATTTTTATTTTAAATATGTGTCTTTTGCAGTCCTTTGTCCTTCTGACATATTCTGGTTTTTTGCTGTTTTATAATTTATCCTTTATTATTCAGAAGCATGCTTACTTAGAGAAACTAAGTGGTCTTTATAAAAGTAATTATTTAAAACGAAATCAGGGGAGGAAAGGTATCTGTTAAATCTTTTTAAAACATTACATTGCAGAGGGGGAGCTATTCCTAAATATTTTCATGAATTGCATGGTTTCATCAGATTCTTTTTACCTTATTAGCTACCTTTTCAGTGCAGAAGAGATAATAGTTCACATAATTCCCATGTTAGCACAGGTATGGACTGAATGCTTCATCACCTGCAGGGTAGTAACCCAGTGATGTTTTTTGCAGAAGTACAATATGTTGAGAATCCTGGGTGTGACCAATATGGAATAAAGAAGAAGGCAGAAAGAGAGCAGATGAAAAATTACAACTTGTATATTTATTTTGTACGTTTTGCTTTGACTTTTAAATTTAGGAAGTAACATTTTTACCTGAGAACAGGCGTTTAAGTTCCTGTGTCAGTCAGTCTCAGTACTCTCACTGCTCCTTCCTAACCCCATAGCTCCTTAGGCTGGGAAAGCTGATTTTTTTAAAAAAATAAAATAAAATATTTAATCTTATTAAGTGTTTATTTAAAACGTGTAATGCTTTGGAAGTAATGGGTAACAGATAACTAAAGGATATGTTTATAAAGTGAGCATGAGGGTCCCATTTATAAATATATGTATGATTTATAAGCTTTTTTAAAACAAAGCTCAAATTGTTGGTATTTTTCTAAAATGTGCACAGCTGTATTTTACATGAAGGCTCTTTCTAATGGGTTGTTATACTGTACTCTACATTTTGGACAGCACATGCAGTCTGCCAATGTACTTAATAAAACATGACTTTGTTTATTTAAAGTTTCTTGCTGTGAAAAAGAACTCCCTACCTGTGAGTTCCCTTATTTATAATCCTTGAAACCAAAATGTATAATGTACAGTTTTCACAACTGTATCTGCTCTAATAAAAAAAAAGTTGGTTATTAATAAAGTTGGAGGTGTGTTTCCTTTGTGAGTAAATTACTGTCTTGCGTTATATGGAATTTTCTGGGGTGGTGTTGAAAGATCTGCTGAAGAATTAACAGTAGAAATAGAAAAAAAAAATGAAGAAGCCACATGGCAGAAGGTAGTTACACTGTGGCACTATTTCTTTCTACATTCCTTTCATCCTGGGCCTTTCAAATGATTTTACAAAATAGGATTCATTGCTCCACTGCTAATGCCTTCATAAATTGGATTAGCTCTTTATCCAGGGTTTTAAGACTGTTCCTATTTTTAAGGAAAACTCAAAGTTGAATTAAATCTCCCTCCTGCATGGACACTTTTCAGTTAATTACAGGTTTTTGACCGTTGTGCCCCAAATAAGTTAATATGTTGCCATGGCCCCTACAGCTTAGTTATACTCCTAGAAGGTTAGGCACAGCGTACAGTTGAATAAACTTGCTGCCACAAGAACTTCCAGCCGCTGTGCTCTCTCTCAAGCGTCCTAGATGTCGGCCTAAGCTGCCTCAACATGTCAGCAAGCTGCCTGTGCAGTATAGTAAAAAGACCCTCACGTATATATCACAAAGTTATCACCTCTAGGTGTGAACCGTTAGTCTCCTAGCTAATGCTAACGGAAGAGAACACAGAACAGACTTTTGAAGCAGGGAGGAAAGCATAGGGTGCTAGAGAGAGCCCCGATTCCAGATTGGTGTCCAGACCACACCTTTGGAGGGCTGAAGCCAAAGTGAGGGTGAAGCCTATGTGGTTGGGAAATCTGTAAAATATTCTGCATGCCCTTTTAATGCAGTAACTACTTCTCAAGAGTCGAGCAGAGCAGGCTCCCCAGGCCCATGCTGAAGTGCCATTTGCAGCTCTCCTCCCATGCGTTGGAAAGTCATGTAGCCTCATCTTCTCCTACTTAATACATGGCTGCAGACATGGTGTATTTTCCCAGCACAGCATAACAGTTCATCGGACTGTGTTTGACTGTTGCAGGTTTAAGAATTACCTCTGTCCAACATTTCCCTCTCACCCCAAGCTACTGTAAAATACTTTAGTATTTTGTAATAGCCTCCTCTATAGGGGTCTGACTTACAGGAGGAGGAGAAAATAGCAAACATATGGAAGAGGGTGAATACTAATGAATCCAGTAAATACGGGTGAAATTCCAGGTCACGATTGCTGTAGGTCCTTCTCTAATCTGTGTCCCTGGTTTCCTCATCTGTAAAGTGGGTATAACTACAGCACTGACCTCATGGTGGTGGTGAGAATGAAATGACCTCATTTGTTAAGTGCTTATTAGCACAGTGCCTGGAGTGTAACTGTTTTGTGTATTTTGGTTTTTACTGATTGAAAGAACTTAGAAAAAAATAGTTATTAAATTCCTGTTAGCAGCTCAAACACATTGAAAAAATATAACGATACCCCCATCCTAAGGGTCTTTTTACAAAGTTTAATTATGCCATAGGTCATATGTTCTTTCTTCTGTGGTGATTATTAGTCTTTCTCACTGTGAAAAATCAAAGGCCACACCTACGGAATTTCTTCTTAATGCTAATATTATGCAATTTCCAGTATGGGAGAACATTTGCTTTACAAAGAACTTTCATCAGTGTCTCATTGGATTCTTACAACCTTCCTATGAAAGTTTTCCTGCAGTTAAATGACTTGCCCAAGATCACATAGCCAAAAAGTCATAAAAGTCCATATCAGAGTCCCAGACCTGACTAAGTCTTGTGCTTTCTCATTTCAAATACTGGCCAGCATTGTTCTGCATTGCCACTCCTCAGCCATGAAATTATGGCAAATGCCATGAAATCCAAGGTAGTAGTGTAGGTTGAATGAATCCATTTCCATATCTCTATCATAAGCTCGCTAATATTGCTGAGTTGATATAATTATAGCAGAGCTTCCTAAAAGTTCAGAATAGCATGTACTTACAACCCTACTATTTCATAATTTTCAGTAGAATATTTATATTTCAACCTTATAGAATACTAAATGTTACTAAAAGTTTAGCATTTAAATAACGGTGTTTTAGAGTAAGAGGCATGTTATAAAGGAACGTGGTTATATGTTTGAACTTGATCTCAAGAATTAACACAGAAATTGCACATAATGCTTAGAAGACCTAAAATGGTTTGGACCAGTTCTGTAGTATTCCTTTGATACTTTATCTCAATATTCCATAAAACTTCCTTGGCATTCTCTTGAATCCCAAGTATGATTTAGATAAACTGTAGTAGAATTATCACAAAAGTGGGGCCCAGAGATTTGTTCAGCTGGTGATTGATAAAGGTGTTCGGTTATTGTGGTGAAGATGTAGCAGTCCTTCCGGAAGGGTGAGGGGGGCAGATGAAAAGAGGTAAGGGGTATAAACATTAAGATAGAATAAGTTCGAATGTTCAGTAGCAGAGTAGGGTGACTATAGTTAACAACAAATGTATTGCATTTTTCAAAATAGCTTGAAGACGTGAAATATACACAAAACAAAAATATTTGATACCCTAAATGCTCTGCCTTGATCATTACATTCTGTGTATGTAACAAAATTTCACATGTACCCCATAACTATGTACAAATATAATGTATCCAAAAAATTAAATCATTCCTTGAAGAGATGAATTCAATGGAAGATCACAATGCTGACATACAAGTCCTCCTTGTCCCCCTCACCTCAAGCAAACTTGTTCATAAAATGCCAAGAAAATATATTGAGCATCCAGTGGAATTCATGATATTTGCTTATGGGAAAGCAATGGAGGACTTAAGTTGCAGGAATGCACATGTCACACCCCTGCCATTTATGGCACATATTTGGAAGAAAGGAATCTGATAAATGTCAGGTCCCCTGCTCAGTGAAAGCAGAAGCAAAGGTGAGAAGAAGCCAAAGGTCACCTAATCCTCTCATTTTCTGGGTTTTCCCCTCCTCTTTTTCAGAGGTTTTCTTGCCAGCATTCTGGGCATGTTTTAACAGCTCCCAATCAATAGAGCAAGTACCTAGAGGCCACACAGCTGCTTCTGAAGTTGACAAAGGCCAGGAAGATACTCAAACATAGCATTGTTGTAGAGCTAACAGGTGGTGGAATCCATCACCTAAGAACTGCAGATGGCATTTTAAAAGCAGTTTTACATCAGATAACTGGGCCTAGTAAAAAGTTAGCAGAGGTTAGACACATTCAGATCCATGTATTATTCAAAAGAATAAACAAATACCACTTAAGTGTATTGTTCCTCACTGAAACTATGTAAGAATTTGCAAAATAATCTCACACAAGAAAATACTGAAGACTCAGATATTTCTGTGCTCAAAATAAGGTTTGATGTTCTCTATATCTAATTTGTCATGATACAACAAGTAATATGAGGAAGTCAGTATAATTTTTCATTTCTCAAATGTCAACTTTATCTCCCAATATTTCCTTACTTTACAATTTGGTTTTCTTCTATTAGAATTGTTGTGCATAGAAGTATCTTTTCATTTTTTCCTAAAAATTCCTAGCTGACTTTGAGTTTCCCTTTATTCACCCAAACTATTAACAATTCACCTGCATTTGTTCTGACATTCTAGAGAAGACTACCTAAGTTACAAAGGAAGCACTCCAGACCTTTTTGCTAGCCTGCTCCAAGCTTTCGGGAATTGCCTGTGCATTCAGTGCCCTGTTTAATGTCTTATGCCCTGCAAAACCTGAGTTCTGCCCACATCTGACCTTAGCCCCTTGTCAATCTCCAAAGACCAGTAGCTTGCTCACACACAATTCACTAACACAGTTTGACAAACAGGTCAGATTAGTTGTGGATATTCTTTCACATAGAGAAGTATAATATAAGGAGAACTAAATTCAGGCATGCCAGTATTCACTTTCTCAGATGCCGTTTTTATGAAACCAACCACATACTTTGTTTTAAGTTTTACCCATATTCATTGGGTATGCCAACACCAAACACCATGTGTGCCTTTTGGTACACTGTAAGGATTGTTTTGGTGTCTGTAAAATGGGAACAATAGTATCAGCTTCATAGTATTTTTATAAGAATCAAATTAGATAACTTTAGTAAACTCCCTGGCACACGGTACACTCTCAAAATATAATAGATACTATTACAATTAATAGACTTGTATTAGCTATTTTTACTTATCCCCTCATCAAACATTTATTACATGCTCAATAGATGCTTCCTTAAATTCACCGAAATGAAATTCTGCTAGCTTTTGGTCACTAAGCATCAGGGCCTACTCTACAGAATGTACTCTGCCTATAGGATCAATTATAGTTTATACAATTAAATGGGTTCCTTCTCAAAAGCAGACGGCAGGCAATTAAAAATTCAAAGCTCCTTAATGGTGATCAGAAGACACACTGGTAATTACTGGTGCACCTCTTATAAGAGGCTTAGGAATATTCGATAATACAGAACACTCATCATATACACAAGGTACAACTATTCATTAATGTCTGTTACTTCACAAAACCTGCATGATAAAAAGATACAATTAAGGTGTATGAGAAATGAGCCTGACAAAGCCTTGCCACAATGATTATTCTCTTGGTTGTTGGAAGGAACTTCCTGGTGCATCAGGATTTTCACTGATGGGCAGAAATGTGTTAATGGGTCTCTATTATGTTTCATCACTGAGGTGGTGAACACCACCAAATGGCTCTGGCTTTAAATATATTTAATCAGAAATGACATGGCAAAATATCACAGAGCTTACATAGTCAGTGTACCAACCATTAGTTTATAAGTTCTGTGATTAATATGTATAAAGAATAGAAAAGATGATAAAAACTTAATCAGTTCCAGTTCAGTGTAGACATCCACATAGCTTTTCTCAAATCCTGCATTAAGCTAAATGCTTGTGCTTTTATTCAATAAGGGACAAGAAACAATTCTGCTTGAAACATGTTTCATTCTTTTAAGGAAAACCTGACATTAGATGAAAATCATCTCCTGGGAAAATAAGTTAATTAGTTAATTAAAAATAGCTTTCATATCATTAAA